TAAATAACAACCACCTTCTGTTTCCTTTATTAATTCAAATTCTTGTCAAATCTCTTTTCTGAATAGGTATATTCTTTGTTAACACATACCAAATACATGTGGTATTCTGGGAAAAATAGTAATTCAGGAAGAAATTCATCTATACCCATACCTCACAATAATTTTTTTTTTTTTAAAGATTTATTTATTTATGCATACAGAGCTGGGGTACAGGCCAGAGGCTCGGGGCGGTGAGAGGCTTCACCAGAGACAGAGTGGGGAGCAGAACAGGCAGATCAACGAAGTACACTGCTGAGGGGAGCAGCGGGCGGGTCAGGAGAGGTCTGCCACGCCATGTGGTCACCTCCCAGGCAGGCGGGAATCGAACTCATGTGGAAGTGGCTTTAGCTTCTCAGTGCAGTGCTTTAACCCGCTGCGCCACCAGGGAGGGCCACAATAATTTTTTTTTAAAGATTTATTTATTTGTGCATACAGAACTGGGGTGCAGATCAGAGGCTCAGGAGTGGCGAGAGGCTTCACCAGAGACAGAGCGGGGAACAGAACAGGCAGATCGACGAAGTACACTGCTGAGGGGAGCAGCGGGCAGGTAAGGAGAGGTCTGCCATGCCATGTGGTCACCTCCAGGCAGGTGGGAATCGAACTCATGCGGAAGCGGCTTTAGATTCTCAGTGCTGTGCTTTAACCCACTGCGCCACCAGGGAGGGCCCCTCACAATAATTTTTAACAAAGTGTTTGCTATACTGTAGTAATTACTGGTAAAAACTGATAATATAGGGCCCTCCCTGGTGGCACAACAGATTAAAGCACCTGCGATGCTAGCCACAGCCTCTTCTGCGTAAGTTCAATCCCCAGCCAGGGAGGTGACCCACATGTTGCAGCAAACCTCTCATCTCTCCTGCTGCTCCCCTCAGCAGTGTACTTCGTTGATCTGCCTTTTCTGCTTTCCACTCTGTCTCTGGTGAAGCCTCTCACCACCCCTGCACCTTTGGCCTGTACCCCAATTCTGTATGCATAGATAAATAAATTTTTAAAAAACTGATAAGATAAACTCAACTTTGGTCACTTATACACTCAGAACCAAACATTATCTCATCTGAAAGCTATTTTTCTAGGTAAAAAACAATTCAAAACTTACAGATCCTTTCTATCCTTTGCATGGTCTCTAACTGCTTTACCAGCCCTAACTTCAAATTCCACAGTTATCCACCTCAGGCCTCTTTAACATGTACAGTCCCTATATCTACTCACAACTGCCTTCATGCAGCCCAACACTCCACTCTGGCTCTTTCATGATCCTTCCAAATTCATCTTACCTAAGAATCTCACCAGTACATATGTGTTAGAGCACTACCTGTTGAACATCAACCATAAAACCGTGATACATTTATACAAGTTCTTTCAAATGTAGTAAAATCAAGGGGGCAAAAAGCTAAAGATACATAAATGCACATTAAACTTACATAAAACTATCAAAGTATAATGCTTCACACATCAAGCTTTTTACTTATCCATCAAATGCTTACTGCCAAAGAAAACCCTTGAAAAGCAGTTTCTAGGAAGTGGCAATTAGGAGGTGGTTAATAGTAAGTCCCCTTCTATGTGGCTTGTTAGGATCAGGTTCAGAATCCCTAGATTCTAAGTTCTGTTTCCAGGGAATATTGTTTACATGTCTATTTTCCCTCTCCATGTCAACAGGAAGGACCCAAGTCTGGGTCATGTTTTTGTAAAACAAATATTTCATCAATTATCACAGCAACAATTTTTTTTAAATTGAGCAGAGGTAACATTCAAGAAAAAAACCACAAATAGTGGACAAAATGGATTAACTATATAAAAACAATGTTTTTTCAAGATTTTGGACAAGAGTATTCCTGAAATTCAGGGATAAATCAGGTAAGTGCTATGAGTCTTGAGGAGATCAAGGTGGTTGGAATTCAGGGCTAAGGACACTAGCACAATCTTCAAAGATTGTCAGGAAAAAACATCAAATATTCATCTGGGAACTGATCGGCACATATATATAAGGAAACTATGGGGTCAGACAAAGAATCACTAGAAAACATTAGATTTAATAGCCACCACCATTCACAAAGGGTAGGTTGTAGTATTTATCCTCATCACTCTAAAAAACCTCTTTCAAGGCACACAGGGTAGAGTACACCAGAGGGTCTTTGCCCTAGCATGAGGGAACAACAGCCCAGGCTACTCCAGAGAAAACACTTTGCTAAAACTTATTAACTGCGCACCAGAACAAAGTTCAAGAAAATAACTAAAGCTAATAAGGTAAAATTCATAATACCTGGCATCCAATCAAACAGATATATGAAGAAGCAAGGTGGCCTAGGGGTTAGGTCTCAGTGCTATCACCACTACAGCCTGAGTTTTGTAAGGGGGAAGCATGTCCTGAAAGAACTCTGCAGCGCTTGGTGGACTCCACCCCCTACTCCAGTGATTGGAAAACTACAACTCCCAGCAGTATCAGGGAGAGAACTGGGAGGACCCAAGGGCATAAGCAGGCATTCTGGGCCTTTGGGGGGGGAAATGGGGAGCAGTGTTCTGACACCTCTCTCAGACCGTGTGACTGGGGGCTAGCAGCGTTAGTTTGGGTCTTAGAGCTCCAAGTTAGCCAAGCTGGTAAAGTATTCTAGCTACTTTGTATCCCTGTCTCTTTCCCTGGGTTGTTTCCTTTTCCTTTCCCCTTTCTGTAAATAAACCCATTACCCTTTCTGTGTGTGCCTGCAGAAAATTACATTTTGAGCCTGCAGGAGGCCCCAGAGACAGGCAGCCCACTTCCACTCTGAGCTACCCTGTAACAGTTTTACCTTCAATCTTCTGCCAGTGAGCTGATTCACATATGGGGCAGCAGACCCCTCCTGTCCTGCCAGCTGCTCCCTTCAGCAGCGTTTTTCAGTACAACCACCTCTTCTACACCGGACACTCTGTCTCTGGTGAATTCTTTTACCCCCATACCTCTGACCTATACCTCATGTTTTTCTACATATAAATAAATAAAAGTCCAATAAGAATCACATGTAAGAAATTTGAAGGAAACAAGAATCAACCTAAAGAGAAACACTCCCAAGCAGAGAGAGGTGGTGGAAAGGCACATACTGTACAAAGGAACAAATACATAACATCAGATTTAGGGGTGGAAACAACACAAGAGATATGTTGAAAAAAATTGTCCAACTAGAATTCTATACTCAGAGAAAACATCTGTTAAAAAAGAAGATTCCTACATAAGAGCAGTCCCACACTATATAAAATTTTAAAGGAAGTCCTTCTTTGTGTAGGAAAAATGATAGTATGTGGAAATCTAGAGTTAAAAAAAGCAGCAAAGATCTCCAGAAATGGAAACGACATAAGTAAATATGAGATATTTCATTATTTCAACCTATCTTAAAAGATACTTAATAGTTAAAGCAAACTTAATAATATGTAGAACGGGGTTTACAATATACATATATTATATAGATATGAAAATGTACCAGAAAATAGCAAAGTATTGGAAGAGAGAAATGGCAGGTACTAATACTCTTTTTTTAATAATACATGGAGGAAACGGGGTGTAGGCCAGAGGTGCAGCGGGGGGAGGAGTCACCAGAGACAGAGTGGGGACAGAAGAGGTAGATACACTGAAACACACTGCAGAGGGAAGCCGTGGGCAAGACAGGAGAGGTCTGCTGCATCATATGGGTCACCTCCCTGGCCGGGGATCGAACTTGTGCTGAAGCAGCTGTGGCTAGGTTCATAGTACTGTACTTCAACCCTGTGCGCCACCAGGGCGGGCCCATATCATGTAATTTCATTTATTGGATTCTAGAAAAGAAAAACTAGTCTATAGTAACTAAAAACAGATGAGGAGAAACAGAAACTGTTACATTGTTGGTAGGAATGTAAACTGGTACAGCTATTATGGAAAATGATCTGGAATTACCTAAAAGACTAAAACAGAAATACCGTATGAACCAGCAATCCAAATCTTGGTCAACTATCCAAGAACATGAAATGATTAACTCAAAAAAGTACATGCTCTCTGAGGTTTACTGCAGTATTATTTACACAGCTAGTATACAGAAGCTAGTGTACAAGTTTGTGATCAGTGAAAGAGGACTGGGTCCAGAAGATATGGCATTGCCACAATATCAAACACTAGCCTGAAGGAAAGAGAACTGTCATTTACAGCAAAATTGAAGGAACTGAAGGGAATTATATGCAGCAAAGCAAGTCAACTGACAAAAACAAATATTAGACATACACGCAGTATACAAGTCAACAAACGAAATACTTTAAAAAAAACTTTCCAACACAAATAAAGTGAGGTTTCTGAGATTAAGATGGAGCTAGGTAGGAAAAAGGGTGTAAGAGGTATAAGGGATGGTGGTAGGAAAAATATAAAATAAAAATGTTTTGTGAATGAAAAAAATTTTAAGTAAAAATTCCAATAAGCTACAAAAGTAACAATGGGGGGGTGATATACTGATGATCTATATCTTGACTGAGTAAAATCAGGTACTCATTTAAGAATTATTTGGGGGGGGTGTCCTCCCTGATGGCACAGGGGTTCAAGTCTCAAGTGTTAGCAAGCTATCTGCAGCCAATGTACCACAAGTTTGATCCCCAGCCAGGAGGTGACCCACATGGTGCAGAAGACCTCTCCTGTCTCGCCTGCTGCTCCCTTCAGTAGTCTATTTTAGTACATTTTGCCTGTTCTGCTCCCCACTCTTTCTCTGGTGAATCCTCTCAAGCCCCCCAGCCCCCACCACCTCAGCCCTCATACCTCTGGTCTGTACTCCAGGTCCTATATGCATAAATAATTAAAATAAATCCTTAAAAAACAAAGTCACATGTATTTCAACTACTTAGGGGCTGCCTCCCCTAATCCTTGTGTTGTTTGAGGGTCAACTGTATTCAGTGTTTGGATTATGGCATATATACATATATGAATGGTTGAGTTTGTATGATAACTGAAAAGAAAAAAGTCCAAGCACCTCACTCACCTGTTTTGTTCCTCCAGCTTAGCCAGTAGTTCTAAGTCGTCAGGGCTCAACTGTCCTGGGGAAGATGGTGAAAGGGCTGGTGTTGACAGTGTGGTAGATGAGGATGTAGTATGTAATGAAGCAGATGGACTGGCCACCTGACTGGCCATCTGGCTGACTGTATGTGATACCGTGTTCTTCACCCATGAGAGAGTAGAACTCAGCTTTTCTGCAACCTTGTCTGTCGCCACCTAAGGATAAAAATAAAAGTTGCATATTTATGTTTTACAGTATTCACTACCAAGAACTTGATAATCCTGTCAAATTTTACTTAATAATCATCACTAGAATATTCTCTTTGAGATGATAAACATAAAACATATTTTAGGACCTCCTTGGTAACATAGGGGTAGTCAGTGCTTCAAGATATCCAAGCCACCGCAGCCTGAATTTGATCATTGGCAGGGTGGCGCAGCAGACCTCTCCTGTCTCGCCTGCTGCTCCCCTCAGCAGTCTATTTCAGTGACTGCCTGATCTGCTCCCCACTCTGTCTCTGATGATTCCTCTCACTCCCCCAACCCCTGCACCTCTGGCCTATACCTCAGTTGTACCAAGCAAAGAAAAAAAGAATACCTCAGCCAGAATTTCCTTTGCACAAGAAATGGTAGGATACATGGTAGGCAACAAGACAGCCTACTGGGACTTGTTATCCAACCGATCTCTATTAGCTACAGGACAAATCCAAGTGAATATGGTACCAGTCTGCATCTCAAAAGCACACTGCATTTTAAAAACAGAAAACCTAACTCAAAATTTATGGGAAAATGCTTCCTTTATTAATACTGATCATTAATTTCAAATATACTTAAAAACATTCATGAATTAAAACATTACATTTCCACTAGATAGAAATTCTCTACTCAAGTTAGTCACTGCAAATGCAAAACACACCTATTATTTGCTTTAGTTTTTATTAAAACAAATTTATCATACCCCTTCCGCATGTTGTAATAAGCTTCCATTTGGAGAATTTGGAGTAACCAAGAGCACAATCCTGGCTTTCAACCTCACTGAAATGGCAGTCAGTGTATAACTTGAAGTTTCAACAACCCATCTTCAAATTTAAACTCTTAAGTATAATTGGATTATTTAATTATAGGTGCACTTTAATAATTTAATGCTCATGATTTTAGAAACAGGATTGAATTTTTTTTCTTATCATCGTGTCCCATTTTCCTATATCTCTTTTCCAAACTTCTACCCTGCTGCCTCTTAACCTCTTTGCCTTATCCTATGGGTAGGGTGAGGTAGTAAAGACTACAAATCTGACATCCAGTTACATCACAAAGTTCCTATCCACCTCACAGAAGTGTTGTGCATTTATTTTTAAACATGAACCTACTTCGTGGGGTTTAAAACCATCACTTAAGAAGTCTTAATAATTGACTACCAGAGGCCACAAACTGTATGATTCCATTTCTATAAAATGTTCAAAACAGGCAAATACAGAGACACAAAGTATCAGTACAGATTAGTGGTTTTGAGTGACTGGAGAAAGGAGGATGGGGAATAACCACTAATGGGCTCCTTTTTGCAGTGATGAAAATGTTCTGGAATTGGATTGTGGTAATCGTAGCAAAAACTTGTGAAGATAGGGTTTCCACTTTTAAAAAGTGTCCTTTATGTTAATATGAATTATATCTCAATTTTACTTTCATTGAGGTAACACTGGCTTACAACACTGTAATGGGAACAAGTTCACATCTTTTTTATCAGCTGTATGAGGCTATTCACCAAAAACAAAGTTTCATATATTTTATCTACCTACCTCCCACATAAAGAGAATTTAGTTCTCTTTTCCCATCATTTACACTACCTTTGTCCACCACAATACATAAATATGTCTTAGATCTCATCATCCCTACACAATTAAAACATACATTTGGTTAGATCATTATTTATTGTATATATAAACATGACTGTATGATTTTAGTCACAGCCATTTGGAAGTGTTCTGTGGTTACTTTTACCTTCATGGCTCAAATTTTTACTTTTCCTTGAGTTAGTAAATATATTTTTGGTTTTTTTGTATTAAAAGTTTTATTTCTGTATCGAAGAACTGGGCTGTAGGCCCAAGGTGCAAGGGATTTAGAGAATACTACAGAGAGAGAGGGGAGCAGAACAGGCAGATGCACTGAAACTGCTGGGGAGCAGCTGGTGAGACAGGAGAGGTCTGGTGTGGGTCAGTTCCCTGGCCCCATCAAACTCAGGTCCTCGCAGCAGCGCAGTGACAGCGCTGAGATTTAACCCCTAGTCCACCAAGGAGGCCTGAGGTTAGCAGATATCTTGTAAGTTTTTGCTTGTTTAGCTTTATGTGTACTTATTAACTCATGCCCATTGTTCCCCAGTTCATCTACCTAACACACTCAGGTATGTGACATGTACTATCAACCTCATATTCAGGGGTATTTTGTGTGTGTGTGTGGGGGGGGGGTTCTTATTTATTACAGATAATTACCCAAACCACTGGCTATTTCCCAGAGATTGTGGGTCAGGAAATCGGGGCTTGGACAATTCAGACTCGGGGTCTCATGTTGTAGTCAAGTGACAGTCAGGCCGCACTCGACTGACTGGGACTAGAGGCTCCATTTGTAAAGTAGAACATCATACACTTGGCACATGAGTGTTAGTTAGCAGGAGGGCTCAGGTCTTCCCTATGTGCACTTCTCCATGGGGCTGCTTGAGTGACCTCACAACAAGGTGGCTAGCTTTCCCTGGGCAAGTGACGTCTTTCCCCCTCATAGAAGGGCTCTGGGTTTGTTGGGCAAAAAGGGACTAGATGAAATGTAAGTTGCAGGAGGGGGGCTCCCCAATTTTGTATTTTTGGACATGTCCCTAGAGAGCCCTCCTGACTTCCCTTTCTGAACTGGTTGCTCTCTATACCTGGTGCACAACTGTCATCCCTTTACTGTAACAAGGTATTTCACCTCTCTGGGGATGGATAATTTGCTCCTAAACCCCTTGTCTTCCTTTTTCCAGCTACATTTGCTCCTTTTGGTGAAATGCTTCCTCTAAAATTCCCTGAGGCGTTGCATGAGAGGTAAATTTGAGAAACTGCATCTACTTTTACTGTCATGTGAACATTCATTATAAACTAGACCAGAAAAAAATTTTCCCTCATATTTTTTAAGATATTGTTATCTTCAAGCTGTCTTTTAGCTTCCAATATTCTTGCTGAAGAGTCTGATGAAACTACTGCAATTTTATTAATAGTCCATTTTCTCTTCACCTCAGAAAATTCCTCTCTTTGTTCTTTGAAACACTAGTTGTAAATGTTTACAATGAAATGTTCTGGCAGAATTTTTTTCTAAATCATTGTACACAGTACTCTGACAGGCCTGATGAATTGAGAAAGCCAGGCCTTCAGTTCTGGGATGTTTTCTTAATTTCTCTCTTTGATGATATCCTTTTATATTTTCTCTTACTCATTGTTCAGGTATTGTACTTCTTAAACTGGCTTTTTAATTTTACCTTTCCTCCAAATTTAATCATTGTGCCAAGTTCTCATCTCACATAACCTCATTTGATACTGCTATAAAACAGAACAGCTTGGTGGCTGAGCACTTGAACTTTGAAAGGATTCCACTTTCAACCCCAGCACCTCTACTTACCAGTGACATGGAACACAGCTTATTTACAAACTATGCTAATAATAATAAATGTACACAAAGTACTTTGCAAAGGCCTAGCACTCAATAAATGTGGCAATATTCATAATAACAATCTTGCTCTTCTCTCACTCTCATCCCATGACTTTTTTGACATCAAGTCCATAGGATTTTCTTTCTACTTCTCAGGAATTTTCAGTTCTGGGTTCCCGCAAGCATTATCAGATATTTCCACCACAAATCTCTCTCTGACCACTTTTCTATAATGGATCAAGTACAAACTCTGTATCCAGGTTCTAATTCCATTTCTACCACCTACTAGCTGTGTGACCCTGGACAATTTGCCTCAACTCTCATCTGAAAAAAATGTTGGTGGAAGAAGCTTAACAATCTCATAGTTTCAGGAAAATTAAATTGTTATGTGATGCTTAGAACATACGCAGCATAGAAGGCACACAAATGGTTGTCATTGCTGTCACACTGCCACCCTCCACTGTCGCTGCTACTACTACTTAAAGATGCATGGTGCGCTTCCTATCTCCTAAGCTTTTCAAAGCTTAACTAATTACATATTAAGACTCTATTTGGCATACTAGCTTAATTCCTTTGCCAATCTTTTAAAATCTGAAAAGCAAGAATTACCATTTCCTGGTCCTCCCTGGTGGCGCAACAAGTTAAAAGCACAGCACTATGAAGCTATCACAGCCACTGCAGCACAAGTTTGATCCCTGGCCAGGGAGATGACCCACATGGTGCAGCAGATCTCTCCTGCCCTGCCCACTGCTCCCCTCAGCAGTGTATTTCTATACATCTGCCTGTTCTGCTCCCCACTCTGTCTCTGGTGAATCCTCTCACACCCCCACCCCACATACCTCTGGCCTGTACCCTTTGGCTTTTTTTTTTTAATGTATAAATATGCAGCTATGAAACTACCTTTAAAAAGCCAAATTGATCTTTTTTGACAAGTACCTTTCCTATAACCTCCGAAACAATTTCATTCTTAAGCAAGAGATATCTGAATAGTGTCTCTGTTGTTAACAGAGGTTTAAATAATCTGAAGAAAAACCAGAGTACTGAATAGTGATTAGAATATCAAGCTGCTGGCCCTCCCTGGTGGCGCAGCGGGTTAAAGCACAGCACTGAGAATCTGAAGCCACTTCCGTATGAGTTCGATTCCCGCCTGCCGCCTGCCCTGGAGGAGACCACATGGCGAGCCAGACCTCTCCTGGCCCGCCTGCTGCTCCCCTCAGCAGTGTACTTCGTCGATCTGCCTGTTCTGCTCCCCACTCTGTCTCTGGTGAAGCCTCTCACCGCCCCTGAGCCTCTGGCCTGTACCCCAGTTCTGTATGCACAAATAAATAAATCTTTAAAAAAAAAAAAGAATATCAAGCTGTTTACAAGTATTTCAGCAACTATCATTTCTAAAATCTGATAATATTTAAAATGAATACCCTTAAGTATTAAAAACAAACAAACAAAAAAGAAAGCTATGGAAAACAACTCCTAGAAGAAATAGAGGTAATACTTTTTAAAACTTATTTACAAAATGTAACTATCCTCAAAAGCTTGCAGAAACACAACAG